TTTTGTTTCAGATCTAACAACAACAATAGCTATAGGGAAAATCCCATTGTCTGCATCCCTTCCAATTGCACTTAACAGTTGGCCTTTGTAAGGACCCTTTAAAAAACATCCATCCACTCCAATGAATGGCCTACACCCTTCCAAGAAACCTCTTTTCATTGCATCAAAGCAAAGGAAAAACCTTTCAAATCTTGCAGGCTCTTCAAGTGCTGCTCTGTCAACAGTGGTGACTGCAATGCTCCCAGGGTTTGTTGCTTGAACTAAATAACAGTAATCTCTAGCTCTACTGAATTGTTTCCCATGGTCCCCCTGAATATGTGACTTTGCCTTCAGTTTTGCCCTATAAACCTTATATGGTGTAACAATAACATCTAAATCCCTTAAGACTGCCTTCTTCATTGCACCAGTCTTCCAGTTAGGTTCATCCCTCAAGGTTTCCATGTATTTATTTGCCAAGAAACTTGAAGAAGCTTGCTTGTTTATTTTAGTGTAAGAGCAATAGTGAGTTGATCTAAATGTCTTTATCTCAAAACTACCATCTTCAGAGTTGATGGATGCATGTATCCTTCACCCACAGTTAGAAACACATTTAGCAGTAACTCTTTCTGCCTCATTCTTGAAGAATCTGATGTCATATTTCTGACTAATAGCATGAGCTCTCAAGTCCATTCTAAACTTTTCTGCAGATTCATATTTCTTTCCCACTTCAAAACCATTAACCCTTGGATTCTGTAGGTTACCAACATCATTCTCATCATCATCTTCAGATGAACCCTTTAAGCTTTGAAACTCATCACTTGGAGCATATGTTGACTCAATGTTAGAAAAATTGAATTCCCTGTCATGTAGATCAAGGTCCACTTCAGGATTAACATGTTCAGTATCAGCAAAAGTAGGCTCCACCTCAGCAAATTGATATCCTGTGTCATCTTCCATGTCAGTAGCATTATCATGCTCTATGTCAACATGTTCAAGCTCCACCTCATCTTCAATCTCAGCTACATACCCATGGTCCATGTCATCTTCCATGTCAGTAGCATTATCATGCTCCATGTCAACATGTTCAAGCTCCACCACCTCATCTTCCATCTCAGCCACATTCCCATGGTCAATGTTATCTTCTATGTCAATAGATTGATGTCCCATTTCATTTTCCACATCTGTCACACCATATAATCCCTCAGTAGCTAATTGTTCCACCTCACCATCGTTCACTGATAGGTCAACATTACCATTTGCTGCCTCAGTAGCCCATTCTAGGATTTCATCTTCCCACTCTTCATTGATTACTTCCTCCTCCACATCATCAACCATTGAAGTAGTGGGAGAAATAATAAATATTTTAACCAAACTAAATCTTTGATGACAATTAATGCAGCCCAATATATCTTCATCTTTTACTATTTGTTTAATCCCTTCATCACTGGCCACCATTGGATTCTTATAATATATTTGACTCCTTTCATCATACCCAAGATCCTTAACCACCTCATTGAGATCAAATAAACTAAAGAAATCAAGGTCTACATTATGAATTAAAGTCACAGTGCCCCCTGTATAACTCTTAAGGGGTGTGCATTGAAAAAATCCTCTAGAATGAACTTCTAGAGTAACAAACCTGCACATTATCTGTAAAAAAAAAAATATACAAAAAAAAAAAAAAAAAAAAAATTTGACAAAATACAAGGCAACTAATAATTGAAAAGGAACATAGTGGGGACAACAAAAACCACAAGACAATGACCTAACAATAGTAAATGATGTCTTTATATCTATTCACAGGACAATGACAATAACTCCAATACATTGACCAAAAGCAAGAAACAAATCCCAAAAGCATAACACAACAGATAGTGGGGTCTAATATAGTTTAATAGATCTAAGGGTACTATTTAAATACACAAAAAAAAATTGCACATGCATGCCAGTATCTCAAATATTGTGCTCACAGAGTTCTAAAAAGTAAAAAAACAAATAACTCACAAAAGCTTCAAATGATTCACAAACCCTACCAACAATCAAAAGACAAAAAACGCACTTTCATTCCAAAATCTCAATGGTCACATAGTACAAACTATTTATACACAAAAGTCAAAAACCCTAGAAACTTCGTACCAAACAAAAATAATCAAGATAACATCAAAATAATAAATAAAGTGACGATTTTTAAAGAAAAATCAACCTTTTGGTATAGTAAGAACACTTACGATTTTGTTAGAAACTTATTGGAACATTCTATTCAATAACCATACCGAACAAAAATAATCAAGATAACATCAAAATAATAAATAAAGTGACTAATTTTAAAGAAAAATCAACCTTTTGGTATGGTAAGAACACTTACGATTCTGTAGTTCAGGGTGTACTAACAATATCCTTCTTCCACGATTAATTATCACAAACACAATTTCTTCTTCCTCAACACTATCCAATAATTCACCCAACAAAATCCTAAAAATCGTACGTCAGATCCCCTAAATCGCAGTCACACTCACAAACCCTAGCATCGCGACCTTTCCTCTTCTCTTCTCTTAGAACTCAAAACCACTCAGTCACTATCTTCACTTTACACTTAGGAATTTTACCAATATAAGCCGTATATGATTGTGAGGGTATTGATGGTATTTCACAAATTATATTTCATTTGCTTTTTTTTAAATGTTAATTATAATGGGCATTTTTGTAAATGTACAATGCCGGTACCGGAAATGAGCCGGAAAGGACAGTCAGGGGGTAAAACTGATCAATTTTGATAGTTAAGGGATTAACTTGCTCGATTTTGTAGTTCGGGGTGGTAAAATGCTGATTCCTAATACTTGAGGGGGGTTTTATGCTTTTTTGCCTAAGATGTATATAAAATATAAAATTAGTTATATATGTGAAATAATTGTGATTAAATTACTAATATTTCAGTTATGTAAAATTAGTAACCATTGTTGTGGTGGTGGTGGTTCACCGGAATTTCTAGCCGGAGAGGATGGTGTGGAGAAATTTTGAAGATTCAAGTCTGAAGATGAATATGGCAGTGATGAGTTTGAAAAAAAAGTCAATTGCAATTTGGAGTGATGAATGTTCTTTTTAGACATTTTACTTTTTTATTGATTTTAATTTTAATTTTTTTATTTTATTTTGTTGTAAGGATATTTTAGATATTTCAAACACTAAATAGATAGATTATCCTTATTTGCTCAAAATGAAAAATGTAGGGGTGGTTTTTGAACTACAGGGGTCCATTTGCACATTTTGTATATAATAAGGGGTTTTTTTGCACTTAACCCTTTGATTTATAATATCAGTTGCTTAAAATTCTTAAAAAAAAAAAATAAATAAATAAAAAGAAACACACACACTCTCCATGTTGAATGCACATTACCTAACCTTTTAACATGAGCATGGACAAAGCAAACAGCTAACAGTTGCCCGTAAGAATTTCCAAAATATGACAATATTAATAAGAATGAATAAAATAAATTTAGGTCGTTAAAAAGCCTATAAAAAGGCCCATAATTAGAAGCCCACCGTTTCTGTTCAAGATGTACCCAATGTGTCTTCTTTGCATATTTAAATTTATATGGTCACGTGAAAGGAATATTATTTCAGTATTATATTGAAGGAAAGACTAATGACATATACGATAATAATCTATATACAGTCACATAAAATGAGTTCAATCATTTTAAAGACATATACGATAATAATCTTTACATAGTCACATAAAATGAGTTCAATTATTTTAAAGAAATTCTATACGATCGAATAGAGTAATAAATAATTTACCTAATCATATCAATTTTATTAGAGTAAAGGAATGCAACAAAAACTAATTACCATCCGGTTAAGATTAATAATACTTCAGAAAGAATTGACACACTAAAATTAGATATTAAACCAAATGAAGAGAATACATATATACTTCGCTTTATAAATTATTATTAAGAACTATTAGCTTTAGACTTTGTGGAAATTCCACATATATATAAAAATATATAAAGTACAATATTTATACACAAAATAATGAACAACAACATTAATAACGATTTTTTCATTAAACCGAATAATACATCATTTGAACAATATGGATATAACAATGAACATGAATTTAACAAGATAAATAATTCATCAATATAAAATTAGTATTAAACAGTGGCAAAAATAAGACAGTTACTTAAATCTAACTATTCTAATAAATCACATATGTAAAAAAAAAATAAAAATAAAAATCTATGATAATCAATTTCTTTTTAAAAAATTCCCTTTTCTTAATAACTGTCAATTTACTCATAACAAAAAATCATTCATATTAAAAATCAAAAAAATAAAATAAAAAACAAGATATGAAGAAACTATCCCTATAAGTTATTACCAGATAATCCAATCAATCGAAAAATTTGATAGAGTAATTGAATATGTGATTTCAATGATTTGGGCTGCAAATAAAAAAAAAAAATCTAAGTCTTATTTAGAGAATAATAATTAGTAACACAATTACACAAACTAAATTTTGAAAGAATAAAATTAACACTAAAAAAACGCTCTCTCTTTCTAGAGCGAAATTAGGGTTTGATAAGTGCTAGGGTTTGCAGCTTGGAGTCTCTGGACTCATTATGGAGGAGGGACGACCCTCCTCCCCGGTGCCTGTGGGGGCTACTCCACCCCACCTTTCACCTATGCGAACCTTGGAGTGTTCTTTTCAGCAACTCCGTTTCTTCTTCCTTCTTAAATTTGTAATATATCCCTAAACCAGAGTCAGAGGCCATATTGACACTAAATGATGACGACGTTGCACAGGAGGTTACTTACTGGGCAAACTCCATTGTGGGATTTGTAATGGGAAAGCGTCCTTACTACCATCACCTTAAATCATATATGCAGAGGGTGTGGAAGCCAGAGGGAGAGTTTAAGCTTATCATGTTACATGATGGTTTGTTCATGATCAGATTTGATTTGGTACAGGATTTAGATAGGGTGCTGGATTGTGTCCATATTTTGAAGGTAGACCAATGATCCTCAAGAAATGGGATAAGAGCATCGATTTGAAGAAAGAGGTATTAGGATCAATTCCAATTTGGATCAAGTTATTCGACGTACCGATGCATTGTCGTGGTACGTCCTCCATATCTAAGATTTGTTCACTTTTTGCTAAACCAATCCATATGGATGATATTTCTCTGACTCGGGAAAGGGGTGCATTTGTCTGTGTCACGGTAGAGGTTGATGTTCATGAGGAGCTACCTACAGAGTTGGATTTTAAGGTTCATGGTACTCTTTGTCGCATAAGAGTAGAGTATACTTGGAAGCCTCAGATTTGTACTCTTTGTCATGCTATTGATCATGGGGTGAAGGCCTGTCCAATGAAGAAAGTGGATAAGAAGCCAAGTAAACCGACGCAGGTTTGGAGGATTAAGAAAAATGGTAAAGAGGTGGTTATTGATGAGAGTACTCAGTCTCCTCAAGAGATAGTACCCATGGTTGGGGAGAGTTCGGTGATTGAGACAGATGCTACTCGGGTTGTAGACCTTGATTCCATGGTGGTTGTTATACATGTACAGGAAGATCACCATGTGTATGACCAATTGCCTAAACCAACTAATTCTCATGTGTGATACCCCTCGGTTTCGAGACATTGGTTGATCAGGCCCAGGCCCAAACCCGAGGGAAATCAAACAATTAAAGTATTTTAAAACGAACACAGATGAAAAAAAAATGAAATAAGAATAACTATTAAAAGTTGAACAGAATACTAATATAAAATCCTCAATAGCCTGATAAAACTTAATAAAATCCAACTTCCAAAACTTCTATGAATTACAACTCGGGAATCCATCTAGTGGACCGCTAAATAAAAATCTCAACTGAAACGTAAATAACTAACATAAAACCAAATACTAAAATATGGAAGGACATCCTACGTCGTCGATGGAATGAATGATAATCCCTGCACAGCACGATCAAGCCTAAGACTAGAACCGTCTGATACCTGAAAAATAAGAGTGGGTCAGGCCCACGAACAAGTTCTAATCTAACTGCAATCCACACAGTGACCCGATACGCAGATACACCTAAATACCTCACAATATCTATCTAGTCCATATATAAATATATCCACACTAGAGGACCTTCACTGGACTATAATGGGGTCTCAACCTGAGTAGAAGGCAACATGCAAAAAACGCACCCAAAGGTGGGCATGAATACCTAGACCTAACAAGGTACACCTCAACCATCATATCCAGCTATGCATCCCAATGCATATACGCTCCCTAACCAACGACTCTGAGACTCATGCCCATATCGTGGTGCCATAACATATATATAAAGTCCATCTAACCCAAGGCATGCCATTTTATTGTTTATTGAATTGACATAAGAATTTTAATCCAGTTTAGTCATTCAACTTAATCAGTTGATCTGACTTAAACACAACCAACATTTAATCCAGTTAGTCATTCAACTTAATCAGTCGATCCGACTACACACAACCACAATTAATCCAAATAGTCTTTCAACTTAATCAGTCGATCTGACTAAACAAGGTTTAGGATTCAATATTTTACAATCCTTCCCTTAAATCCAATAGGTTAGGTTTATGCGTTTTGAGCTAAACCATCCCTAATATGACACCGTCCCATACCGGTTCATACGATCCTCCACAACCATGTAATTGACAGAATCTATTAATTCAGCAATTAAAATTCTACATATATATATAATCGTTTAGCGATTTATAATCCAAAACCAATATCCAAGTATTTGCAATTAAATCCAAGCATTTAAACCATATAGTTGTAAGGAATGATTTCATAATTCAACAACTAACATCCAGAGCCTGCATAGATCACATCTAACACATCAATGACCCTATAATATATTTAAAACCATTTTATAAATATATTAAATCCCACTGGAATGCCTAAAAATAAGCTTAAGTATTTAAAACTTCATCTATCCACTAACCGTATACAATGTATATAAGTGTTATACAGTTTGATCCGTTAATTTAGAATTAACCTTAAATCAATTTAGGGTCTTAATAACACCCAAAAATTAACTATTTAATCCCTCCGTGAAGTCTCATTAAATTTCTAAAATTTAATCAAGCCATTTAGTTCCTTTCTTCTGTTAGTAGCATACACCGTTGTATATTTTTACACTGCTACATCCTTTGTCTTAGAGACTTAAACTATGCAACAATAAGTTTAATAACACTTAGAATTAACTACTTAGATCCTCTGTTAAGTCCCTACAGTTCATTAGAATCACTCAGAAGCTCAAACAGTGCTCAAAACACCAAACAGAGCCCTAGAAAACACTTTCTGGACGTAAAACAAATTGGAGCCGGCTCTTGGAATGGAAGAGCCAGCTCTTCCCCTATTGGAGCCGGCTCTTGCTGAAGGGGAGCCGGCTCTTGACTTTCTAGAGCCGGCTCTCTCCCTCTTGAGAGCCTCCAGTTCATCTCTGCTCCGTTTCCGTCAATCTGCTCCTTCTCCGATCAATTCCTACCCCTCTGCTTGTTTCTTAAACTGATCTAAAGGATCTAACACCCTCCTGATAGCATCCCCAAGGTTTGATTATAGCAATTTAAGTCAATTACAAAGCTTAAGTTTGATACCCAACTTAACATGCTGTTAGTATGAACACTGGAACCATATGCAAATTGAAGCGGAACGGATTGCAACACGTATTTAAAATAGAATAATAGCATCCCTATAAGCTTTGTATAACCCCAGTAGTGTTCCTATACTGTGTTTACAAAAGTTGCAATCAAATACAGAGACTAAATTTACAACAGAATCAATATACTTAACGTACAGGATACTGAAACAAATATACACGAACTGTAAATATATTGGATTTTAAAACAAACAGACTATCACCCAACCATATAATAAACATGTAGGTTTCAATCATTGATTAGTTATTCCCTAGAGATCATCTAGGTGCATAGAACACGGCCCAAAGGGAAAGAGGAAGATAGAACTTGCCTTTGAGTTTCAGACTTTGAAACTCTAAACCACCGTCTCTGAGGTTTTCCGACCACCTTCTAAATTGTCATTCTACTCCTCTGCTACTCTTGGTTAAACCCAGAAGAAAACCCTTGTTCCCTTCTTCTTGAACTTCTCTATAGATCACTCAAGTTTTCTCTGTTTCTTTGTCTCTCACTCTCTGTATCTAGGTACGTGAACAGAGTTGTACGTACTTCCCAAAACCCTAAACCCACATTATGATATATTTATAGGCCCAAAACAATAACCCTAATCCGTGTAAAAATTAGAGACTAAGTCCTAATTCCAACCTTAATCGGCCCATGAAACTACTTAAGTTAAAACAGACGGCGGCTATGATAAAACCTAAATCCTACGTTACGATAACTCAATTATAAATAATTAAATAATTACCATTTAATACAATAATTAACCAATTAATATAAAATGCAATTAATCAAATAACTCACGAAATAACAATTAATTTAATTTAAAGAAAAATACAATTTAAACAATTAATTAAATTAAAATACTATTTAAACAATACATTAAATACCAGGAATATCCTTTTAAATCTAGGGGTATTACATCATGTATCCAACTCCTTTGGTCTATTACAGGAAGCTGTGGAGGATACTGCAACTATGGATGATATGGAACTGACTGCAGCTAAGAAGAAGAATAATAAGAAGAAAATAAATGGTCAATTGAACCAAAGGGTAACACGGCAGAGTTTGGCTACGGAAGGGCTATCTTCCAATCCAACTTGCTTATGATCGGTTGCTGGAATGTGCATAGCCTGAATAGGCCCAAAATGCATTTTAAGGTGAGATTTTGGATATCCCATTACTCTCTCTTTGCTGTAGTTTTGCTAAAGACTAGAGTTAAGATAGACAAGTTTGATTTGATTACAAATAAAATCAATGGTCGATGGAAGTGGATTAATAACTATTCTTATCATCATTTGGGTAGAATTTGGGCTGGATGGGATCCCAGCAAGGTGGATATTATAAGGATAAACACAAATGAGCAGGCAATGCTGTTGAAAGTACAGTCTTTAGAACTACAGGCTCTTTTTTGGATGTCACCTGTGTATGCAGCAAATTCAGAAGCAGAGAGGAAACAATTATGGAGTACACTTCGCCAATATGCTACAATAACTGATGAGGCATGGTTAACTATGGGGGATTAGAATGCTATTCGTGCACATGATGAAAAGGTAGGGGGTAACCAAGTCCCTCAATGACTGTTAGATGAGTTTAATGATACAATGCATGAGGCCGGTTTGACTGACATTCCTACTTTGAATGGAAAGCTGACATGGTGTAATAGACAAGATCCCAACACTAGGATCTATGCAAGGTTGGATAGGAGTTTGGGGAATTTGGGATGGTTTATAGCTTATCCTAATTCAAAGATTTTACTCACAGTAGCTTCTATTTCTGATCATTATGCTATGGTGGTTCAACAAGGTATGCAGGTGTCTTCCAGCCCAAAACCTTTCAAATTTTTAAAGGTTTGGCAGTTGCAGAATGGCATGGAGTCCATTGTTGCAGAAGCTTAGAGTACTATATTGAGAGGGGATCCTCTTTGCAGGTTTACCACTAAGCTGAGGAGGGTTAAAGAAGCAGTCAAAATATGGAATCTTAAGTTTGGATCTATCCATGAACATGTTACTAAAGTTAGGAAGCAGTTAGAGAGGGCACAAATGGAGTTGTTAAATCAGCCAAAAAACTCAGAGGTGATTGGTAATGAGATTAGGGCCAGGTCTGACTTGGAAGCTACTTTAGCAAATGAAGAGATATTGATTGCCTAGAAATCTAGAGTGAGGTGGATTAAAGACAATGACAACTGTACTGAATATTTTCACAGGAAAATGGCTCAACATAGGACAACAAATGGGATTACTATGCTACAGGACTCCAATGGTACGATGGTGCAAGATGTGGAGACAATCAAATCTATGATGGTGGACTACTACAAGGATCTCTTTACTAATGGACCGTGGTTGAGTGGGGAGATTCAAATAGAGCAACCGAGAAGTAAATTAACTATGACAGAAGTTGTGAGTTTAGAGCAAGCATGTACCGCACAAGAGGTTAAAGATGCTATTGAGGCAATGGGGCCTGATAAGTCTCCTGGTCCTGATGGTTTCCTCCAAGATTCTATCAACAATACTGGCACATTATTGGTATCGACCTTCTGTATGCTGTGCAATTCTTTTTTGATAATGTCAAGCTTTCCAAATCAATTAATAGTTCATTTATTACTCTCATACCTAAGAAGAATGACTGTGCTAGAGCAGCAGATTTCAGGCCTATTGCTTTATGCAATGTGGTATATAAAGTAATTACAAAGATCATGGCTTCTAGACTTAGTTTGGTGTTGGACAAATTAGTGGGCTGTGAGCAGTCAGCTTTTATTAAGGGTAGGAGGATTCAAGACAATAATGAATTATTGACTGGATTTTCTAGGAAGACATGTAACCCTTTATTAGCTTTGAAGGTAGATTTGAAGAAGGCATATGATTTAGTGAAATGGGACTTCCTTAAGGAGCTTTTACTGTCCTATGGCTTTGGCATGAAATGGTTAGATTGGGTAATGGAATGTCTCTCATTTGCATGGTTTTCCATTCTTATTAATGGATTTCCTTGTGGTTTTTTCCAACATACCAAAGGGCTGAGACAGGGCTGCCCACTCTCCCCTTTGTTGTTCACCCTTGTTACTGAATCATTTTCTGCACAAATAGATCAATTGATGAGAGAAGAGAAGATTTCTATTCCCAAAATGATTTCTAAGGTAGGTATGTAGCTATCTCACATTTTTACGTAGATGATTTGCTGGTTGTGCTTCAAGCAGATATATCCACTGCTAAGAACCTAACTGCTGCTTTGGGGAAATTCTCTACATTATCAGGCCTAACAGTGAGTCCTGAAAAGAGCACCATCTTCTTCTCTGAATTAGTTAGGAGGAGGAGAAGATTGAGGAGGATTTTTCACTGCCAAATAGGGAGATTTCCTATTACTTACTTGGGCCTGCCGTTGCTGCCTTGTGGATTGAGAAGAGTTTATTATAGTCCTTTGATTGACAAATTTACCAATAAAATCAATGTGGAATAGAAAGTGTCTCTCTATAACTGGTAGATTGGAACTAGTGAAGTCAGTTTTAACATCTTATGTGTACTTTTGGTGTTCGGTTTACACATTGCTAAGAGCTGTTGTTAAATATTTAGAGAAGAAGATGAGGGACTTTATATGGGGCTCTACTACTGAACACAAGAAAGTGCATGCTTTGAGTTGGAATAAGGTAACTAGACCGAAGAAGGAAGCTGGGTTTGGGGTGAGGAAAATTGCAGACATTAATTCTATCTTAATGTGCCGACTGGTTTGGACCTTCCTTCAATCTAAAGACTGCCTCTGGGTTGCTTGGTTTAGATGGAAGTATACTCGAATTGTATCCTACTGGAATTATCAATCTGGGAAAATAGATCATATGCTATGGAAGAAGATGCTAGAGGTCAGGGAATTCACGTTGCAAAATGTCAACTTTCAGATTGGAGATGGACAGTCTACTTTTTTGTTTACTGATCCATGGGTTTAAGGGGAAAGTTTGGTGACTAAATATGGATATAGAGTCCATAGAGACTTTGATCTGGCCAAGCAAGCAAAGTTATCTTCCATTATTCAGAATGGTCAGTGGTAATTCCCACATCAGAACTCTAATACTTTACACCAGTTCAAGAACTTTGCTCTCTCTCTGACATTGAAGCAAGGTGATGATAGGTTTCAGTGGAGACATGGTGTCTTCTCTTTTGGAAATGTTTGGAATAGGTGGAGAAATCCACACCCAAAGATGCAGTGGTTTTCAGTTTGTTGGAATGGAGCGAGACCTAGAGCTTCTCTGGTCTGTTGTTTGGTAATGCAGAATAAGCTTTTAACCTTTGAAAATCTAAAGAAGAGGAGGCCGCCTTTAGTGTCTATCTATCATAACTGCATGAACTTAGCCGATGATGTAGATCATTTACTTTAAATTGTCCATTTGCTAAAGCAATTTGGTAATGGTTGTCTGATGTTCTGTGGTGGAATATGCCTCCAGTCATTTCGTTAACTCAATTGGTGGATTGGTTTGTCACCAAAGGAATTAAACATAAGGCCCAAAAATGTATTTGTGCGACTACTATTTGGTATGTATGGAATGAGAGGAATTTGAGATTGCATCAGGAGGTTTGAAGAACTGTTATGGAAATTACTAGAGCTATTTGTGGAGAGGTCCTAATGTTATCTGGGATGGAGATGGGAGAGTTATGCTCTCAGCCTCTAGCTAATTGACACTTACTGTGTTTATCTTCTAGTTGTCAGTAGACAACTTGTTTCCAAGGGACGCCTTGTTGATGATTTGTAATTTTGGTTATACTATAGAAATTTTCCATTTTACCCAGGAAATTTTTTTTTTTTTTTGAAAGAATAACAAGCCCTAAAATAATTTTGATAGTAATAACTAATATTTTTATAATTATAATATCAAATAATAATCGTAAAGTTAGATGATAAAAAAAATATATCAGATTACTTGTTTGCCGTATTGCGACTGAGTGAGTCTCTATCTATTGGTCAATGGTTGCTCCGCTTGCTTTGTTTGGATTATGAATTTGTGATACGTTGAAGACCTGCTGAACGGAAAATTTTGAAGACTTAAAATGTGATGGAAACAATTCATTTGTTTGTGGTAAAGTCAAAAGTGTGAAAGAATATATTGATGAATGTTTTTTTGGGGAAGTGGGAAAGAATATAATATTTAAGGAAAGTGAAAAAAAATATATTATTTTGATGGAAACTGATAAATTGATAGATATATTATATATATTTACAATTGTGTCACGATTATATTCCCTTTTTCATTTTTTACCGTGAATGGGCTTTTGGTTATATATATTTATAGTATATATTTGTGCATTGTCAAATTTTAGAGGGGGCAATTATATAAATATAAAAATCTTTCCATATAGAATTAAAAAAAAAATTAAAAGTTCAGTGGGGCAGTTACCCTGACTTGTCCCGATATTAACTCAATATTATAAATTAAGAAGTAAAACAATAATAATAAAATAGGTTGAAACTACTGGCCTGATTGTTGAAGCATGTGTAAACACATTGACCTAAAGTTAATAATTTTCCCTGTGCGGGTATTGGTGAAACTACTTAGCTCTAAGATACAATCCAATCAGCTTGCAGCGGTGTCTCCTCCATGTGCACGACCATAGAAAGACTAGATCTAAGTCTATACGTGTCTCGCCAATAAACTCAATATTTAAAATAGAATATATAATACTTCTATAAGAGTTCCAATCATTCATATATCACTCACATATACAAAAATTTGAAAAATAGAAAGAATATGGTGGGAGTATATATCTCTAGATGTTTGTAGATCAATGGTTCTTAGTATCTCAAACTGGTGGATGCATTATATGTGAAAATAGAGTTACGCGGGGTGCGAAAATTGTTAGTTGATTTCAATTGTGATTAACTCCTTTACTGACCTAGATCAGATTATTACGTCAACTTACTCAATTTATGATTGATTAAATTATATGATCAATTTAAACATAAACATCCATAATCACAAATATATGTAAAATAAAGCAAGTAAAAGTTTAGAGATATTGCACCAAGATTTTTTGCGAGGAAACCCCAGTTGATAAAATACATCAACTGTTTGCATGGGACAAACCTCATGGACTATTCAGTCTAAAGTAAACCAATCCACTATGTATGAAACAAAGTACATCGAACTTTGACTTTGGCTCACAGTCTATCATTCTACCAAATACCAATTGCTGACAATCCTCTGGCTTTGCGACTCCCCGTCCAACAGCAACTTGACCTCAGGCTTATGCTTGAAATTTGTAGAAGAGCAGCAGGTAGATCAGACAACACTTCTCGAATGCTCTAACCCTTTCAAAGTGTGATCGCTTTTACTTCTATTCTTCAAGATCTGAATTCGATGTATAAGAATTAAATCCTACTCTTCATACGGAATATCTTAATCTTCAATATAGCTCTAATTCCGATGAGATAGAGAACAAAACTGATAAATCAATCATGAATATATGTGTGTGCTCTCATAAACAAATTCAAAATAATCAGATTTGATTTTCTGAATTTTCTCTTTCTAAAAGGCTTTCTCAAAATA